GGGCTTGATAAGTATTGCATCTGGGGTGTGAGGAGATTAAGTCAACTTCCACGAACCCTGGTCCTTCAGACAATGAGAGAGAAGAAAACAACCTGTACTTTGTTCAGAGAGGCACGATCAGCTGAAGCTCTAGGGCTAAATGCTTGATGATTCGAACAGGATGGAATGGAGATGGGGAACTCTCCTGTAAGGTCTTTGATTCAGGAATTGGCATTCCCTCTCTATTAATCCTTCTTACAGCACAGACTGTCTCACCTTCAAAACATACTCAAGCACTTTCTCTCTCTCTTTCTCTCTCTCTCTTTATTTTTTTTTCTCCAGCTTTTTGGCAGTGGTAATTGGCTAGATTTTAAAGGTTCTTCTCTGGTGGGGGTGTTATTGATCTTATTACTCAGTTGCACTTCCTTGTTAATAATGGTTTACAATACTTATGTCTCCAGATGGGCACGTTACAAGTGCAAGCAAATAATTGAGGTTGTGAGTATATGCATACATATAGAGTATACCATGTTTTGCGCGCAAACCTATATACTCTACTCCATCAAAATACTGGAAAATAAAGATTGGAGAGTAGTATACTTAAAATCAGCATGTGCACTGGAGCTTTCCCTTTCAGAATCCATGCTTTTCTTAATTGGTTGCATTATTTTTAGTACAATGGTGAAGTGCTTCTTTTTATTTCCCCTTAGATATCCCTGCTCTTTTCTCTCTTCCTTTAGCAAGCCGAACTATAAACCTGTAGGGGTATTCTGATGATAAAGAAACTCAGACACTGAGTCTCAAACTGCATTTTTCCAGAAATCTCTTCTTTCTGCTCTATTTGTTATGATGGTAATAGAAACTATTTCTGGAGTTTGAAACTGGGCTGTGACAAGGCTTTTGTACTTTGGCATGACTGGGATTTCCTTTTCAGTTGCCCTTTTGCTTAGACTGTGAATCTGTCCTCTCTCCTGTTCAGAAATGATGAAAAGACTATTTGAGCAGCTTCTAAGCAGCACTAACTTCATCTCCTCCTCTTCTTTGCTCTATAAGGAAGGCAACAAAGAATGAGGGGTGGACTAACACAGAGAGCATGAAGGACTTCCCAAGAGGAAGTCCTTGATAGAACTGAACAGGCCTTCTCTAGGACTAGGCTCTATTTCCTGAAGAGTCCTTAGCTACGTGCACACCGAGATCAGCTGCTTGTCTACCCAAGGAAGGCAGTCTGCAGTAGGATGAGACTGAAATTTCAGTGCAGTGGAAACCCTCACTACTTCTTCAGTGTGTTTTAAATAAGAAGTGATCTGTTTTGCTTTCAAGGCAAAATAATTTACCTTGCAGGAAGAAATCCTTGGCGCATGCTAAGAGTGTCTGTACGCAGAGCTTGTATGGGAGGCTAGCTTCCTGCTGTGTAAATAAGACTTACATCTCCAATCTCATCCACAAACCTTGAAAAGAAAGACTATAAAGAAGCCCAAGTGGGTTATTTTGCAAAGTTTCTTGTATATTTTCTTCAGATTATATTAAGACTATATTATACAGCATCATATGGATTATATGGCATTAATATTATCTTAAAAAAAAAAAAGGTTGGGTAAATGTATATTTTATATTGGTTTGATTTTGTGCAATCGTCGACATCTCTGCAAAGATGGCACCGCTTACAGTTTCTCCACTTTCCTAGAGCAGTGTTAGGGTTTTGCATCTCCCTGTACTCTTTTTTCCACAGAGTGGAAAGCAGTAGAAAATCAGCCTTCATTTTTTTGTTCCTGTGAGAAAGTTAGTGGGCCAAAAATTAGACTTAATTTCCCCACTATAAATCTGGGATAACTAGGCTCAAATAATTGCAATCTCCATAGAAATTATGACTTGACCCTGCACTTAGCAAAGTTCTACCCAGCTCTGCATGCAAACAGATTCCATAAGTTGATTTGAGTTGAATCCATAAGTAATGATTGTCATACTAGACCCCAAATGATTTGAATTTACCTTCTTTCCTGAAGTGGTTAAAAATAAAGTTAACTCAATCTAAAACTGAGGGAATTCTTAGGTCTGTTAATTTTATTTCACCTTTGGAGATTTTATTCTTCTTTTAAAGTAGCCTGTGTTTATTTGGATATAACACATTAGGATCAGATCTTCCACAGCTAGGGAAGTAAATCATTCCACCTTGGAATTTCGAGTTATTCTCGGGCAGCTTCTATGACTTATTTCTACTAGATACAGCCTCCCTAAGGTGAGCAGTTAGAGTGCTATTAAGGAGGTGGCAATACAGCTTATTGGGCTTGGGCGTGTAGTTCATGGGGAACAACAAATCTTGCAGTTCGTATTCATGTTCTGGGGTAATTTGGAGGTATGATATTTGAATTTCCTATCTTGAGGTTACGGAACTGTTTAAGGAGACAATTGTCTCTTGCTATTTATGCCACTGATTAAGGCAGAAAGGCAATGAAGGCTTTAGCTGAACTTTCATCTCCTGGACTGCTATAAGGTTTTTAAAACAACAATATTCACAACCTCTCCAAACGGTCTAAATGCTCTTTTAGCGTTCAGGTGAATCCTGCTAAGCGTAACCACAAACAGGAGAGCATCTGTAAAGAGAAATGGGAATATGTCCATACATCGAGTGAACCAAGGCTTCCGCCATGAGAAAAGATGGTGCGGAAAGGCAGCTTTATGGCTACGTGCATTCTGTGCATACACGCGCACGTTTTGCATAAAGAGACAAAGATATCTTTATCTGCCCGATAGATAGACAAACAGACCGACTGACTTCAAACTTGCACTTTCAGTACAGATTTTTTTTCCCCCCATCTCCGGGTACTGCTTTTCAGAATTGCCTGAGGCTACAGTACAGCACCTCAGATCCCCAAGGCCCATCGCCTGGCTCCTAATAGCCACTCTCCATCTGTGTCACATGAACAGCTGATGAGATAGCTCCAGTGCCTGTGTTTTGGAGAGCATATCCACCCAGGTTAAAATGCTGGGGTTGCCAAGGAGCAGTCAGAAGCCATTAGTGTTTGTGAGAATTTGCCTTGCAGCAGTTCCTTGGCATGGTGGGAAGTGTGTGTGTGTGTGTGCGCATGTGCGTGAGCGATGGGGTGCACTATGGGGGGAAGGGGGTGGCGGAGGAGGACTCTCTAAATGACCAGCGTCTCCCAAAAGTGACCAGTTGGTTGCAGGATATAGGGCTACCGCGAGCTCGTCAGTTAGTTGCCGTGGTTTGACTCGCCTTTCCCTGTCTTTAGCAGAAACAAGCAAAAAGAAAAAAAAAAAAAAGAAGAAGAAGAATAAAAGGCATGAGGAGGAGAGAGCAGTGACTTAAGGGTCTTGCTCTGGTGTTTGGGCAGATGGAAAAGGAGCTGTTCTGCCTTGGGGCAGGGTGGTTGTAATGAAGTGGCCTGTCAGTCTGTAAATAGTGAGGGTCATCTCTTCCATGTGATGGAGGGTATCACATTGCAGTGAAAATGGAAATGTCAATAAAATTAATCTGCCAGCTCTTTGCTGTGGCTTTTTCTGTCTCTCTGGTCCATGTGGGTTGGTTTTTGCAGGGGGGAAGCAGTGCAAGAAGGGTGATCTGCCACAGGAGGGGCAGGTAGAGCTGAAATGCAAGTTCGGGAGCAAATGGGCTGCACGTAGCAGCAACGTGTTTGGTTTAGTGGCACTGCCGAGCTAGACAAGGCTATAGGAATTAGCTTGTGAATCTATAGCATTCCTCAGGAAGCTATGGAGCGTCTAGCTCAGGCTACATTGAGCACAGAGTTTATTGTTTTAGGCTTTCTTGGACAAGGTTTTTACTTAGCATGGGATTTATGGCATTTACTGCTAATGAATGTCTATTCTTAAATTACAAAAACCACCGTCTCAGCACAATTCCCAGATGTCCTTCCAGGACCTCGGCTTCTTAAACACCAGCAGGGAGCATAAACTCTCCACTTCTCTGTTTTCCTCTTTCGTGTGGCTCCGGGCTAATGATGTGTAAGGAAAACACAGCAATCTATAAAGTCTCAGTGCTGTCCCAGTATTCTTCATTTATTTTGCATTTGATTATGCCACAAGTCGGATCTTGTTTCTTTCCTTTTTTTAAAGTTATTAGTTCAAATATTAATGTAGGAATATGGCATATATTGCTGCTCTTGATTGATGCCTTCCCAAAAACAGGAAGACGTGCTCGTATGAATTTTAAGAAAGTAGGGGTCCTGCAATGCCTTGCCAGAAGAGTTTTTCAGATACATAATTTAGATGCCCTCCAGGCAGGCTTTCAAGGCATTTTTGCTGGAGGGCAAGAAAAAATAACTATGACTGTTAAAAGTAAATGATTTTTGCTAATGCACAATTAATGCCAGGGAAAAGCACAGAAGAGAAAGATGTTGATGGAAAGTTCTGATTAAGTGAGAGCTCTACCTTGATGTGCATCTTTCTTTTTTAATGATAATAATCACTGATGCAGAGATGTAGAAGTTTTTGTGTCATGCAAATGCTGTGTGCAGGGTCACACTAGGTGTACGTGTTTGGGCGCGTGTGTGTGTCGGGAGGTGGTGGTTGTGGGGAGGGGCTCGTCTGACAGTGTGTTATGTGCACTCAAGAGTGACACGGTTACTGCCACCTATGCAGAGGGCCTGGAATATATAGACTACAGAACATTTAACTTGATTACTTACAGTATGTATTCCGAAGGGCTGTAGGGATGCATTTACAGAGAATGGATTTTCCTGTGGCAGGTTTTCCCATATTGCATCCCATAATTGACAAAGACCTATTGCATGATGTCAAGAACACAATTATAATTGAATTAATGATATATGCATGTGCAAGACACAAAATTAATATTTGGAAAGACGTGGCTGCTAATTTTTACATATTCGTAACAGCACTCATATTTAATGAGAAACTGTATGTGCCTGATGTTCTATCTAATCAAAATAAAGCTGCAGTAGTATCTTAGAAATTATTGCTACCTTTTGGCTGCTATACTTCGTTTATTATATGTCCCCTTCCTCCTGTTTTTCTCTTCACTATAGGAGATGGTTTAGACAACAGTGTAGCCTCACCTGGTACAGGGGATGATGATGACCCAGACAAGGACAAAAAACGGCAGAAGAAAAGAGGCATTTTCCCCAAAGTAGCAACAAATATCATGAGAGCGTGGCTTTTCCAGCATCTCACAGTAAGTGGTGCCCAAAAACAAAATAGATTTCTATTCATGTGCCTAATGAGGTTTATTCATTGTTACTAGAAATCAATTGCCCCCATAATTTTCTGGAGGATTATTAAGGCTCAATTATCACTTGCATTTTTTTTCTAGATTTTTTTTTCCTGGCTCTTGGAATCATGACAAATCTGAAAAAGAAAAAAAAAAAAACATATATATAGACAGAGGGGGGAAGAAAGAGTACAAGGTCTTATCAAGGAACAACACCTACAGATAAAGCAACCATTTTTTGCCTTGAACTATTCAAAATGTTCCTAAAGATAAAAAGGAGGCTTTCTTGCTTTAGCATATATAAAGCTCTGCCTTCTGGATGCTTTGTTGTTGGCCTCTGTTTACACAAACCTCATATGTATTCGGCGGAAGAGAGAACCCCAATCTGTGTATTCTGACATATACTGTGGGATGCAAGAGAAGTCAAAGCAGCAGCTTGCAAACTTGTCATATGTTACTTTTGGTGCAAAATATAGAAGGCTTACAGGTTTCCTAATTCTTCAGCTGTGTAACAGAGAAAATAAGCACCTTTTAGTTTCTCTGCAAGACCATTATCTTAAAAGCTAGCCATATTCACATTTGGGGGAGAGAGATTAAACATGTGAGGAAGTAGTGCTTTCACTAACAGTCTATCTTTATCCTCCTCCTGTTTGCAATTGGTTTTATGTGTTGGTGTTCTGTTGACTGTTACAGCTTCACTTAGGCATCAAAATACCGTTCTACAGAAAAACTAGTAACACTCTGTAGTTCATTTCATGTAGGAAATAATGGAAACTGGTAAAGTTATGAGCTGATTTTCCTCTTCTGCTCACTGTGAAGTTGTTTCTCACTTAATCAGGCTTAAAATGGTAGCAGTGCTTTTAACTACTTCTTCTTCTGCCAAAGTTTTAGACATTTCCAAGGTAGCTGATGTTAGTTACAGTGTCATGACTTGAGGACAAGGTACCCGTTTTATTTATGGTGGGGACTATCGAACTGGCTCCGCTAGCAGCACAGCTAAAGCGGGGAGCAATAGATCCACATTTCTAAACCATCATTTTGATGTAGGGACATTAGTAGCAAACTAAGGTGCATTGATCTGGCCTGTGGGGTCAGGATTAGCTGGAATAGCCAGTGTCTCTGCTGGAGTAGTGGTTATTCTTGCCTCCCAGCTATGGCCATTTCAAAGGTCAGGTGCCCTGTACCCACTTGGCTCAGAGGAATTAGACAGAACATGAGTCTCTGGGCTGATTACTTAACCAAAGACAAAATAATGAGTCCTAAGCAAATACTGACTAATTGAAAGGGCTGTAAATCCATTACATATTGGTCAGGGATAATCAGGAGTATTTAATCACTTTTATCTATTCAGGAGCACTGAAGCTGCAACAGCAAAGCCCTGAACCTTGCCATGTGCTTATTATTCTCATCATTATCAAAATTACTTCACAGCTGTTCTTTGCTACATCACCTCAGCTGGAGATTTACTAACCTGTAAAATGTTTTTAATTTGGAAGTCGAGTGAGTGAGAGTGGAGGGTTTTTCATTTAGCTGTAGGGTATCTTTAGAGGAGCAGTACAGGGAGGGAGGCAGCAAAAAAGCAGGGCCACGAATAAGCCAGCTTCTTTTGTATATGTCTCTGTTAACTCTGTTTCCTTTCATGAAGTTCGTGATATCTTGGTTTTTCTCCCTGCCTTCCTTTCTTGTGTGCTCCTTGAAAGCATTCAACACATGCTTATTAAACAGTCAACTGCCTCTCGCTTCTCTTGAGGAAAATCCTCCTGGCTTTTTGAAATCCCTTTTCCTTGTTTCTATCCCTTCCCTTCTGACTCTCTCCATTCCACTCGAATTGAGGAAATTTGCCATCTCTGGCGAGGATGGCCTTGCAAAAATCAAATTAAATGAGCACCAAAAAGCCCCCAACCTTTTACCTTCCAAGCTTTAATGAGTTTGCAGGTGTTGAAAGATTTACTGAGCTGTAATTCTCAGACCTGAAAACTGATAATGGAGACCCCTGACCAGTGCAATGTAAATTCAGAAAGATCCTTGCCATAAACACATGCAGAGAAGGAAGAGAACTCCTTTCTTTCACAGATCTCACACTTTTTCTCAAATTAGCTTGTCCATTCAAAGTGCAACACTGGCTGAGCCAGAACGGGGGAATCTGTGATGTGCAATTTTATTGTTTCAAGTAAATATCTTTACAATGGCAGTCCATGATTCAATGTACATTCCTTCATTACTACTCTAACCTTATTTCACATTGCTTTGTTCCTCCTTTGTGCTGTATGACCTGTTCTTGTATTACAATAATCCCCTGATGTACCCTTTTTTCTTTCTCCCTCTCTTTTTTTTTTTTTTAAAGAAACTAATTGAATTATCTCATTATTTTAATTTGTTAAGCAAATGTATTTTACATCTCAGGATGTGTTCTTAAAGAAGGAGCTGCTTAGGCTTTGCCCCCTGAATGGGCCATTGGTACATTTTGACATTCATGCATTCATTAAGGAAAGGAACATAAAAGAGCTCTGGTTGTATTTTTTTTTCAAACACCCAACCAGCATGGAGCAACTTTTCCATAAGCCACAGGGGTCTCTCTACATATGTTCTCAACTGCAGGCCATTGTCACCTATTCTGAATACCTCGAAAGGACAAATAAAATACTAAAGGCCAACTGTAGCAATTGTTAGCTGTTAGTCTCAATATGACAAAAATCATTAACCTCTGGTTTTCCTGGAAGAAGCAGCAGTGGCAATCCACCTCTTTCGGTGTTGATTAAACTCCAAATTCCTTTAGACTGGCAGACTTAGAGAGAGTAATTCAGTTCTGCCTAAATATATTTATTTGTGATTTTAATTAAAAATTTATTTTAGAATGCAATTTGCAATCATTTTACAAATTCTTATGTAACTGATTTAAAGACTGGGTTACCTGAGTTTTTTTATTTTTATTTTTGGAGGGACAGGTGCTTGAAATCTAATTTAGAGTTAATAACTGATGGGCTGTGTCATTTCTGTTCCCTATCACATCTTCTATTTTGCAGTATCTCTAACTATATTACAAGAAGAATTTGCGTGCATGTTTTTTTTTGCTGGAAATCAAATGCAAGGAGTAGCTTCTGTCATGTTCTTGTTCAGTTATTGAGCTCTGTCTTATATTTGGAATTACAACCGCACCGGAAAATGAAAGATCCGAGGATGAATTGGTTGGCAATGTGTATGCTTTTTCTGGATAATGTCCAGTGTTTAAGAAAGTAGAGGAAATCCTAGTCTGGTAGTATAAGCTTTTCAATAGTACATAAAGATTATGACATCAGAAAGGTAAACCTGACATTAAAGCTGTTTTTTTTTTTTCTTTTTTTTTTTTTTTTTTTTGAGTTCAAAGGTGGTTAAAGAAAAGAAACAGCAAGAAATGCGAGCCAAGATGAGAGTTTATTCATAGCTTTGGAAGACTCCTTTTCCTCCATGCCAAGGAGTCCTTAGTACACTCAATTAGCCTCTCAGGCATCTCTGCTTTCCTCTCTCAAGTGCTCCCCTATTTGCCCTGCAAAGAACGTATTTGATCACAAAATGAAAACAGGAAGTGCTCAAATGTATAGACACCTCCAGCTTGCACCGACGCTGAGATTAGGGTTTCTTACTGGCAGCTCTGCAGCGCCTGGTGCCTCCGCACTCCCCCACCTCTGTGCCCTTTCAAACGGGAGAGGACCTTTAGAAAGATATGTACATACCCAGAAAAGAACAGAGTAGTAAAGGAAGTAATTATACCAGTCTATGGACTTGTAGCTCTGGTACCTCTGGTAGTTCAGCCCTTTCTGCAGCGCAGTGTATGGAGAACTACACTTTTGACATTTCTCCCTTGCTTTTACAGAATGGGTAGAACAGAGATGCATTTATTTTGTGACACTTACCTGGACGGATAACCTTTGTTAAAATTTTGTTTTGGTTGTTTCTTTTATCGCAGTCTCTAGGAAGATGTAAAAGAAATACCAATGGTAGCATGAGACCTAAACATTTGATATGTCTGTGCTGGATTCTCAGCTCATGGTATTCAGCATAGCTCCCCTGAAGCCAGTAGAACTGAGCTGCTTTTTTACTAGTTAAAGTTCTGTCTCCCAAAATTTATTTGGACAGTATAATTTTAGCTTGATTTCCACAATCTTCTGGCTAAAAATTTTGCTGTTTACACAACCATGTAGAATGGGTTTGAGTTTCATCTACCTTGGTGTCAAATTAGAATAATTTCTGATGGAAGGTGCTAAAATGACTTAATCACAATTTTTGTATTTACCTGAACGAATCTTCCTAACTTGCAGGTTTCAGCTGGCCAGACTGAATAATATGAATAATCTTACCAAAACACATCCTTTTCTTGTTCTTTTTTTTTTCTTTCCCCTAGATTTATGTGGTTTGTATCTGATAATATAATGCATCTGTATCATTCATTTTTTAATGAATGGCTCACCAAGCCTTTTATACAGGCAGCTATTGTACCTATTCATTAGCCTTAATTTGGAGAGATGAAAGTCTGCAACCAAAGGCAACGCTGGCATTTTGGGGCAAACTTGCAAGACAACTGAAACTATCCCACACTCGTAAATGTCTCCTCCCCATCCTGATTTTAGGATTAATACTGGAGGGAGGGCTAGCTCCCCAGGCTAATGTGCCTGCACTCTGAGCTGAATGACTTCCTTTTATTTGAAGCAGCAGAGGAGCAGCTTTCCTCCGAGCTCTGCTTCACAAGGAGCATTCCTCTGCAGCTCTGTTTTGCTGCACTGGAAAGAAGAAAAAGCCCCAAATTCAACAGGCACTGGTCCAGTTAAGATGGTGATATGGATGCTGGGAGGCACAAGGAAATAAAGGGATGTAGTGGTATTTTGATGGATTTTAGTGTTGGTGTAGGACCAAACTGTTACATGCTCCCAAAGTACATGGAGGGGGTGGCTGGTGTGGGACAGACCTCCTGTTCTGTGCACATATAACTG